TTCTCTCTTTTGCGAATTGTTAGGCGAGACTTATAACATACACATGCAATATGACATATTCAGGCATCGCTCTGTGGTTTGTACTTGCGCAGCGTGGGTGGAGCCCCGCTGGAAGGCTCATTGCAAATCAGCCTCTCGACTCCAACGAGCCCGACCCACGTCAGGATGCTGTTGAAACAAGAATTTACTTTCCCAGCTAGGCCATAGGACGGTGACTTCACAGTAACTAACTTTGTGGGCCCCGCGTTCTGGTGAGGATCCACCCGGACGGGCGCAATCCTCTACATCTCATGTACGAGGCGTTACTTCCTCATGTACATTTCTCAGAACGAGTTGAATATTACAGTCAAGAGTCCGTTGTCGCACGCCTCACTCATTTCCAAACTTGGACGGAGGAACAAGCCCAACCAAATGATACTTCTTGAGCCGCTGAGTAATCCACACGGGAGCCACCAACACTCTTGCACTAACCCACGAGAAAATTAGCGCTTCAAATAAATTACAATGTTACCTAAGTGATGTCTAGTAGTACGAAGTATGTAACATTACGGAGCACTTTGAACGCGCGCGAGTGGTCACTTAGCGCTGTCATGTCCCCACAAAATTTTCAGTAACTGCTGGCTGTCATCACGCTACCTTACTCTGAAGAAAGTTCACTGTGCGCTCCATGCAAACACTGCCGTAACTCACTGATGACGCACAAGCAGAAGTGAGATATATACGCGTTTTATATATACAATGAATATAATTAACAAATCAAATGCAAACTCTACATGAATACTCAACATGAAACCTATTATATCAATAGTTAATTTCTTTATATAATAGTATTAAATTATTATGTTGAAGGACTCCTTAAAAGATCCTTGAGGTCTCCTTACCAAACCTCGGTAACATAAAAACATGAAAGTAGAAAGGCCTTAAGCCGTGAATAAAACGATAAAATGTGTGCAGTGTCAGCTGGCACGACACAAGCTAACATCGGGAGACAGGATCACCTACAACACTGGACTAATGAAGAGATGCATGACCCTTCCCACATCACCTACCGTTTGAGGGATGGCCCCCTATCTCATCCTTCCCTCCACCCCAGATTTATAACATCCTACAGTCCCATCTAATTCTGCCCTTCCACTTCTGAATGTCCAAGCACACATCAACAACTCCAACTCACAGCCCTCTTGAAATATACTCATGTAAACCCCACAACCTTCTACTTTCCAAGCTCAGCATTCTCTGCATAATATGCACATCACACATTGCTCTCAAAACAGGACATCATGCACCGCTTCACAGCTCCGCGTTGCAGTTGTTTAATGACCCCATTAATCTCTGTCCTTTCTGTAATTTTCCAGTGTTTATTCCCCCCTCCCATCCCGTCAAACAAAAGAAGTAACGTGTTCATTTTTCTTTTCCTCCCCTTGTTCAGGATGAAAATAAGTCTCCTGTATGATGGACTTGTCGACATTCCCCCCGCTGGACCACCAGACTTTCTTCAATTCCTCGCCAGTTGTGATACACCGAGACAATAAGAACGATAAGAAAACTACAGCTGGCCTACTGCACCGTGCATAGAAAGAAAGAAAGAAGCAAGGACAGGAAAAGTCAGACACACGTGCAGGAAGAGTAAAGGAAATAATAAAGAGCAGGGCAAAAAAAAAAAGTAGAGGAGACATGCAAAGGACAGGTCAAGTGGACGAGATGTTTATAAGAGAAGAACGATTTTGAATTTGATTTTGAATTTAATAATAATCTGAGAAAGAAGCATCTACAGAAACCAAATTCAGTTAGCAATGATTGATACCATAAGGCTGAATCAACAAAGAATGCATCTGTGAAACAAGAAGATACATAGCTTTAGCAGAGCACCAGGATGACTGATCTCTAACATGACAAGAACATTATTCGTGCTGACAGGCCACCACCCGATGACAAGTTTGATGTGTATCTTAAGACTATCATAGAAGAATGAGAGAGTGGAGAGAGAGACAGAGAGAGAGAGAAGGCAGAGAGACCAGAGTTACACTACAGTATTCGGAGAGGACATGGAGGAACGGGTATGAGGTAGACATAAAAAGCTTCAGCGAAAAAATGTGTCTGAACTAAGATTACTACGAATGTGGAATAATATAGTTTTTGCAAAATGCAATGTTTGATATGTAGAGGACGAATAGCGTAATTAAAATTTTGTTATATTGGAAATATAGAAAAGGATAAAGTCCAGATGGCTACCGCAAGTGTAGTCACTTAATTGTTTATGATGTTACAGGGTTCGAAGTCACACTCCTGATGTTCCACCTGACTGTCTGATACTGGTCTTTCATTCTTTCCTGGCTTGAGTGAGCCCCTGACAACATCTGTTCTTAGAGCGTGATATAGATTCGGCCTAAACCACTTCGCTGGCTGTGTCGTTCCACTTCCTGCCGCACTAAGGCTAAAAGAAATATTTCCTAAGATGACCCCCGTGACTCAGATGTGCATTTTAACTTCCAGCTGTACTGCCTCCTAGTACTTGAGACGCTCGCGCAGAACTTCATGTCTATCTTATCAATTCCACTGAGTATTAATGTACGTTATAATCGTGTCACCTCTATCTTTCTGTCTCTCTAGTGTAGCCAGTTCTCTCTCAAGCCTCTCTCCTCCTCAGCTCTGGGACAGTTTTGTTCAAACGCATATTAGCACTTTTTCCGCTTCTATACGATGCTTAATCAATGCGTGACGTGATAACGTTTCCAGACAAACCAGCAATAAGTTGTTTAAAGTTTCCTTATAAGCACTGGAATTATTTCTGAATTGGTTCCTGTCACGATTTTGTGATTTGTATTCTTCGAGTTATGCTACGCCTAGCCTAGTACGTTTGCATGTGTGCATTATTACTCTGGTCATATCAAAAATACTGTGGGGAAACACTAACCAGTTTATCTTTACTACATTTGTGTCAGTCACCGAATACGGGAATTGCTAGCTTAAAAATTGTAATTGGCTCATTGAAAATATGACTGATCCACATAGCGGCTGCTGTTACCTTTGACTTGGGATGGAGGAAGAAAACATAAACTGTCTCATGGAAAGGCTCTACGTATTTCCAAACCCACCATAAAGCGTCATGTTAAAAACCAATATACACGTTTCCTAAGAGCACATTCCTTATTGTTTAAAACAGTACATAAAATTCCTTTATCCAGTCTACTGTTATTAATGGGTCATATTAGATTTTCAAGGCCACAAAACTGTTCAAAAATTCGAGTACTAGTATTAACAAAACACTTCTGATCATATACTAGCAATGCCTGTGCAAATACAATTTGTACTGATATAATTACACCACAGCGAATGCTGGAATAAAGACTTTGCCTAGCCATTTGTGAGCAAGAACCAATTCCCTAAACAAATAGTCGGATTTGTTGGTTGTCAAATAGCAGTGTACTCTGTTGGCGCGGCCAATGTTAGATACCACTTTAGCACTAACTACTCCCTATATTCTGCAACGTTATAACACTGAGAGGTGTTTATTAAAATAAACTCTCAGTGTATAAACACTGAGAGTTTATTTTAATTCTTATTGTACGGATTAAAGTATAAAAGACTAGTGGTGCATAGGTACCAGTAATCCATTAGACTTGTACCAACAAAGCAATCAACTAGTTGTAAATAACAAAAAAGGCACAATACCGTGAATCTGAACGATACACCCAATAACCCCACATAATGAGAGAAGCTAACGACGACGTTACGGTCCGACTTGGACCATTGACAAAATCCACACTAACCAGAGGTGGAGCAGAACGAGCACAAAAATAGTGTTAGGCATGCCGACACTAACTATGCTCTTTACTGTCACGTCAGAGATCATAGCAATCCTATTGACTGGTCAATCTGCTAAAACTGTCTCCGCAACTTCCAACTCCCGAACAGTCGCACGTCTAGTTGAATCCTCTCTAATACACATTTCCTTGTATGAACCTTACAGCCCATGGCTTCGTCACTGTAGATGCCTACCCTCTCCACTACATTGCTACAAATGCTCCAAACTTCAAGAACAAACCGTGACTTAACTGAATCTCCTCATTTTTTCTTTTTCTTTTCTTCATTCTTCACTTCCCTATTCTCCTCTTTTTCCTTTTCTCCTCTGGGTTGTCTTTGCTCTCTCCTGTCTCGTGTTTCTGTTCCTTCGTCACTTATATCACCACTATCCTTTCACTCAACTCTGCGTCGGCTTGCCTCTCCCTCTGTGGCAACTAGCTCTGCTTGCAGTTGTGCTCCGCCATTCGCTTTGTATTTGACTGGCTCGTCACTTTTATTATTTCCCACTTCTAAACACGACCACTACTCCTACCTCTATCTATCTTCTAACTACAACTACAACTACTGAGAAAATGAGACACATGTGCGGCGTCTGTTGTCTTTGGTTGTGTGACGTTTTCGCCATCCAGATGGCCTGGCTGGATGGCGAAACGTCTATTATGGGATGCCGGTGTTGTCATGTGTCTTATTTCATCTTGTAGGTATTATCTACAACACTTGTACTACACTACTAACTACCACAACCACCACCCTTCCTGCTTATATATAACCGTCCTGTTCCACCTCTGGTTAGTGAAAAATGGTTATAAATGACCATAATTTTTAAAGGGGTGGACCGGTAAGCCAGCGGAAGGCCTCGGTCAGATGACCAAAAGCTCCAAAGGCGGGTCATCATCTGACTAAGACCCCGCGTCAGGAAATCATTTGTCTTGTTTCCTGACGAACCTTACCTAACCTAAACCTCTGGTTAGTGTGACTTTGTCAATGGTCCAAGTCGGACCGAAACGTCGTCGTAAGCTTCTCTCTTTTATGTGCAGGTTATTTGTGTATCAACTAGGTTGTGTTAGCCTATTCTATTGCTCACTAAAAGCCTAGATGGCATAGTCTTTAAAAAACATAGCTATGCTCTTAATCAAACGAAACAAAAAAAAAATTTGCGAACATTATTTGCGTGTATTTGCTTACCTGTGTATTTACACTGTGTTTGTTGGCAGTTGCCAAGACCACTCGAGAGCTGGAGCTGGTGTGGTACGAGCACGACCCCGTCAAGATGTACCGGGGCCTCCAGCTACCACAGTTCCAAGTGAAGAGCATCAGAATGGACACATGTGCCCTGTCCTTCCATATTGGTGAGTCTATTGTGGTAAGAAGGTAAATGACTCAGACAAACTGAAGTGAAGACATGAATACACACCTTTACTGATGATGTTTTGGTCTGGAACCTCTATTGCTTCGAATACACAGCCTGTCTTCCCTCATAATCTTCATGTATTTTAAACTCAACGTCCCAGGACCGAAACGTCTTGAATAAAGGTGTTCTAAGAAATTGAATAAATAAATAACGGCATTAAGTTTGCTGACGACACTAAAATAGGCTCTTAGAAATTTCTGATGACACTAGAACAGTGGTTCCCAAACTGGGGGTAAATTACCCCCTGGGGTAATTTAACCATTTTTGGGGGGTAATGGAGGGGTGACAGAAAAAAAGTTATGAATTCTGAAAATCAAGAAAACAATGCGGTACCCGGTATGAGGATTATTGTTAACTTTGTCTTAGTATATAAAGTTGTAAAGTAAACCTATTATAAGTAAGTAATAAAGTTAAACCAAATAACAATAAACATCAAAAACTAATATACAGTATTAGAAAAGAAGAAATATATAGCTAAGTGTGTGGAAACCCAAAATTATTTTGACAAGTTGTTAGTTTAATATGTTTTATTATGCACCCCATACCCATGCTGTGGGCGGTAGTCAAAAGATTACAGAGGTACATAATTGGTCCAGGGACTGGGCCTCAAAGTTTTGATAGCTTATGCTTCAGGACAAAAGTCACTCAGTAGCCCAGATCGACCTGTCCAGTACGCGTCACTCACTTCCAGAGGCTGCCTCTATTTCACACTGTCAGTTTTTTCTTTGAGCATCCAGCCGAGGTAAACAAAAGCCCGTATGTATGTGTACTGCCCTGTGCAGTATATAGTTAGTATTTACCCACTGTTACTGTGAATTTGTAGCTATTATTAATTTTTTATATAATGTATGTGTGGTTCTTACGTTTTCAATGGTTTTGCTAGGATTAGCAGAGTATGCGAGGCTGTATACGTTCACGTTTAGCCATATATATCAATAATAACAACATTTTGTGAAAGGGGTAACATGCTTTATGTGGCATGTTAAATTGGGTAACAAGCTGAAAAAGTTTGGGAACGACTGCACTAGAAAGCTGCAGGATGACTTGGATAGGTTGATGTAGTCGAAGTGGCAGATGCAATTCAGTGCAGACATGTGTAAGAATCCGAGGAAGAGAAAATAATTATAGCATCTGTAAGCTGAATACTATAAATCGTAGTCAAAGTGAACGCGAAAAAGATTTAGGAGTTCTGGTTGGCAGAAATTTATAGCTAAGACAACAGTGCATAAGTATACGCAATAAAGCTAACAGAATTATTGGTTTCATATCAAGAAATATAATAGAAATCTTTGAAGGCCTCTTTAGATTAAGCAGTTTGTCCTGTGTCCATGTATACGTTGGCTTTAAATGCATTGAAAAAAATATAGAGATGGATAAGCAAGTTGATTCACTACATAAGTAATCTTTCCTAAGAAGCTGAAGCACTGAACTTGCACTCTCTGGTAAGGAATAGAAATAGGGGAGATATTATTGAAGTACACAAGTGGAAAATAGAAATAAATAGAGGATATAAACTGCGTGTTGAAAATATGAAACCAAGATAGGACTCTCAGCAATGAATTCAATTTGGGAAAATTTAGAAAAGATATAGGAGGTACTGAAGGCAAGCTGAGTTATAGATGATTAGAGCAAACTCCTCCCAGGTAGTATCACTGAGGCGAATGCTTTGGATAGCTTAAACATAGGTTTCGCAGGTATCTGGTTGGATGTGAGTCAGACCCTCAAGCCTGATGCAGTGTTTCTTCGTTTTTGCGTATGTATTCGTGTACATTTTCCACTAGTCCTTTATATGTCTTTCTCGCCCTCATTGTCCCTCCCTCCGCTCAAAACTTGCCTAACACCTACTTCTCTCCAGGTAACTACAGTTGCCTGGAAGCTGTGTTTGAGCTGCAACGTAACTTAGGCTACCACCTGGTACAGTCCTACCTGCCCACCTCCCTGATCGTGGTGGTGTCGTGGGTCAGCTTCTGGCTTGATGTAGACGCTATAGCTCCTCGCGTCACCCTGGGGGTCACAACCCTCCTCACCGTCTGCTCCGAGTCTTCTGCCTTCAGGGATAAGATACCTGCAGGTGGGCATTAATGGTATACAATCGATAAGTAGATAACTTGTGGACACAGACGCAATATTTCGGTATCTTTATTTCTTAATGGTGCTGCTGTATCAGACGAGAATTATTAGGTATCCTCGAAGGGGGACTTGGAAGAGGATGCCTGATTTTTTCTTTTCTCTTTTAACTTTTTGTCTTCTTCACTTTTATTTTTAATTCTCCTTCATAACCCATCCCAGCATCCTGAGGCACACTTCAAATGCTCGAAAAAGGTGTTAAAAAATACACGACACAGGATAGGAAATTCCAAACGGTAGGTGCAGATTAACCATTTAATGCGTAAAACAGTGTGAAATATTCTTTTCCCCCCGTTAAATATTTTTTATTTACTTTTAAACGCCTTCATATTTAAAAACCATGATTTTTAAAGAGGAGACCGGTAAGCCCGCTGAAGGCCTCGGTTCAGAAGACCAAAAACTCAAAACTCCAGGCTGTGGTCATCATATGACTCAAACCCGCTCAGGAACACAATCCTGTTTCCTGACAAACCTTATACACCTACCTAAAGCCAGGATAGTACCATTTACGTTTCGATGCGTGCAAGCAATTTGATAAACAACAAATATGAAAAAGATTGAATCGTTGGAACCGACAAAACTAAAGACTTAATCTAGCCTGGCCTCAAATAATACCACCAATAATTGTGAAAATTTTCCTGAACATAAAGTCTCACGTGCCACTGAGTGGCATAAGTAAGTCTCCAATTTCACACCTGAATAAATAGTCATATTTATTTTTTAATTCATTAACTAAGAATGCATCTTTGATTGGCTTCAAAAATATAATTGATGAAGAAGGATAAACCCATCATTTAGTCCGAGTAGGTGAAAAAGCTAAAATTTTACTAAACCCGTTAATAATTTGGAATCTTGAATCTATCAGTTACTGAGTAGCCTTTTCTGATCCGATTTCAAACTGTATCTATGCGACAAATTAAAAACAGCTTGTCACTCACTTTGAACTAATTAAATAATAAATGAAATATACAAATATTTTACATTCCCAGAATTTTGTACAAAGAGTTCAGATGGTAAATGTATATCTAACTTAAGGTCCTAAACCGGAAAACGATTGTGCATTATATTATATTTATCCTCTGATAATCAAATAAAATCAAACTGTGCTCTTATAATCCATCAAATAGACGCAAGAATATCACAGTTGTGTATTTCCAGGTAATCTAAAGTTGAATACGATAACCTTCTTTGCCTGAGAAAATAGATACGGAGACACACGAAAGGGTTGTCCCGCGTCGGTCGAAGACAAGGGGAAGAGCGGATTTTAAACCCTGTGTTTACTCGCTCGTACTGGGGACATAAAAGAGGAAAATTGTATCACCCATTCCCGGGGGTGAGCCTCGGGACCTTTTTTGGTTGTACACCCAGTGCGGGTTGTATCCTGTAGAGGTTTATCCTGCCCCCTGAATGAATGTAGCGATCACTTTTACCGTCCTTTCTAAAAGACGGGAACCCGATCTTTACGTGCATCTGAAGGGACTGTAGGGCCTTTTTTTAAACCGTGCATGCGAAGGGCCCTGTACGATCATCTTTATTGTGAATGTGAACGACTAAAGCGCTCAGCCTTACTGTGCATGGGGAACGACGGGTCCCCCAATTTTTTTACCGTTTTGGGGAAACCCCTTTTTGGATTTTGCTTTGATTTTTTGTGGGGGGGCTCTTGACCCAAAGGAACAAAAAGCAAAATTTTCCCTTTTTCCCTTGGGGAACCAGGATAACCCCAGCTACTTGTTGAAATGCAGTGATCCCTGGAAGCGATTTGTCTCCATTCCCAGATCCCTTTTGTGCAAAGGCACCCTCGTCTTTCTTCATGTCTGAATTTTAAATTTTCAGATTTGGAAATTTTAAAATGGAAAAGCGCTAAATCAGAAACAGAGGGGGAGAACAGACCCCGGTAGTCACGATGGGAAAAGTTTGGATGGGGTTTTAAATTTAAAAACCCTGGGTTGGAAGGTAGTACATAAGGGGGTGTGGAAAATTGGCCCTTTCCCTTTGCGGGGCCCCGGGTAGGCCTACTGCGTGAAACCCCCAATTCTTGTCCCTTTGGGTTACCAGACTTCTTTGAACCGTTACCCCACGCCATCCCCTAACTATAACAAACCCCTTTCCGTTTGCTACACTTTTGGGTCAGAAATTGATACTTTGTACAAACTACCAATACTACCCCCTATTCCTCTTCTGCTACAACCCCAAAGAATCGTGTTTATCCCCCCCTCCCCCGTACCTCATTCTTTGTCATACTTCTGTGTCCCTGTTTCCTTCGAGAGCCAGTTAAGGGTCCCCAATTGAAAAAGTCCCGTCTCAGGACTTTGTTCCTGACAAAAAAATATTTCATCATTTGTTTTCTTTGCTGGCTTGATAACGCTTTTTTCAAATTTTTCTTTTCGTTGTGTCCCCTTTTTGTAACATATTGTCGCTAAATTTGGGCCAACACTTTACCGCTGCAAAATAAGTGGCCCACCCTGTTAGGTTCCCGTTTTTTTTTTTTTTTTTTTTTTTTTTTTTTTTTTTTTTTTTTTTTTTTTTGCTTTTTAATTAATAACATACCACACCCATAAGTTTTATGGGGGGATTTTTTACCTCTTTTTTCCACGGTTCGTTTCCCCGGTTTTAATCTGGGAGAGAAATGGTATTTAAAACATCAAAAACCAAAAGTAAAAAAAAACAAATGCATATAAACAATCCCCTTTAAGGGCACTACTCTCTCTCTCTCTCTCTCTTTTTCTCTCTCTCTCCCCTTCCTTCTCTCTCCCCTCTCTCCCCTCTCTCTCCTCTCCTCTCTCCTCTCTCTCTTCCCCTTTCCCCTCTCTCTCCCCTTTTCTCTCCCCCTTCTCTCTCTCTCCCTTTCTTCTCTTTCTTCCCTCCCTTTTCTCTCCCCCTTCTCTCTCTCCCCCTCCCTTTTCTCTCTCCTCTCTCTCCTCTCTCTCTCCTCTCTCTTTTCTCCTCCTTTCCCCCTTTTTCTTTTTCTTCCCCTCTCCCCCTCTCTCTTCCCCTCTCTTTTCTCGCCTCTCTCCGCTCTCTTCTCTCTCTCTCTCTCTCTCTTCTCCTCCTTTTATCCTCTCTTTAAGGGGTTTATCTATTTGGAACTTAAATTCACTGTGGGAGGGGATTCGTTGTGAACAAAGATGCATTTGTACAAACATTAACCCCCCCTGTAGGGAAATTTTAAATATATTTTGTTGGGCGAGACGTCTTAAAAATAAAGTAACATGTATTGCACGGGGGTTGTTTCACGACTGTCTTTTTTTTTTAGTGTCTAGTAAAGGCGCTGGACATCTGGAGGGCCTCGTGCCCCGCCTTCGTGTTCCTGGCACGTTGGAGTTACATTGGTCAACTATTTGGGCAGACAAGACGAGACTCCCTTGCCCATCCCCCCCCAAGCCTTTCTACCCACACTTAGCTCAGGGGATCGTTTTCTGCTATAAAGTATGTGACAAGGGGTACGGAAAAAATTTCTAACGAAATTTAAAAATTTGAATCACCTAACCAAATAAACTTTTCATATAATGTTTTTAAAACCGAAAAGTAGATAAATAAAAGACATGTGATCCCCGGGGCATCTTTACTGTGGAGACGCTTCGCCAACTGTGACTATCAATCAATACAGAGAAAAATTCCCAAAAGTCTGGAAAACAAAAAGTACTGAGGTGATCAGCCCCCTCAGCCTTGCTAGGAAGTGTTCTTCCCTGTGTCATTTATCCCGTTTTCTGTCCCTCCCCCCACCACCCCACACAGTACCGTCCAACCTATTTCAACACCCGAAGTGCTGGGTTCAAACGAGTACTTTGTCATATCTTTGGTTTGAAAGGTAAATCTTCCCGTAGATCTACTGGCCCGCTAGGCACGTCTTTCACACCCGTGTTCCCCCTACGAAAAATTTTAATTTGTTTTTACAATGCTCACCAAACGCACAAGTGGGGGGTTGAACCACTGTCACCACCATCCCCACACCCACCTCTACCCCCACTCGCATATACCCATTAATGATTATTTTACCACCGTCATTAAACACCAACCCCCCCACTCCCCCACCTGCATTTATTTCCCAACTATTCTAACCCCAGCCACCACCAGCATCACCAACAGTACCCACCAGCCCACACCAAAATAACCCCCAGATCGCCAAACAAAACTCAGAAACATGTGTTTTAATGTTTTTAATTTAAACCCTTTAGCTTAAACAAACGCTTTTTTTTTCTAAAATTTAAAAGTAAATGTCAAAGACATGTGCATTTTTTTTTCATAAACCCAAAACCATCTGTTTATAACCAACACCATTCTCAACCCAAAACTGTCATTGGGTTTTTTATAAAGGGATGGGGTAAGAAAACTACGTAGGCTGGTAGATGTATAAAATAACGGAAAGTATGGGAAGGGACCAACGCCACCTGCCTCTCCTGCTCCCTATCTTGCTGCTACGTGCCTATGGGTAGGGGTGTTTTAAATCCTGCTATGGTCAGCAGCAATTAATACAGTCAGTGTTTTTCACAGAGACGGTGGTGTGAGTCATTTACGGACATGGTTCTGGGAAATGGGTTACTGGAACTGGACTATACTGAAGCTCGGCAACGCTAATGTATGTCGTTCCCCACTACAACTAAACAACTAAAAACGGCAGGTGTACGGCTTGGGCTGATTCTAAAAAATTCAAAGTCACAACAATTGAACTTTTCATCATAAGTATTAAAAAATTTGGGAAAGGAAGCTTACGTAACTGAAACTGTAATGCAAAACAAGGTAAATATGCCAACTCTGTGAAACTCAACGTGGGGCAACAACCTTACAAGTGGCGGGGGCACTCAAACACTTACAAGTGGCGGGGCACACAACACTTACAAGTGGCAGAGGCACACACACTTACAAGTGCGGGGGCACACAACACTTAACAGTGGCGGGGCAACACCAACACTTACAATGTTGGCGGGCACACAACATCTTAACAAA